GGGGGAGGTGGTGAGTGCCTGCATATGTCTGTGTTTCCGGAAGTTCTTTCAGTTATCGTGACTAGTGAAAGGTACCAAAAGAAATAATATTTTGCTCGAACCAGGCAGGCTTCAAAGGTCAAAAATAGAATTCTTGACAAAAACTAGGATCCATTAAAAATGGGTTCTTTAGCCATTTAAATATTTATATTTAAAAGGACTTGATTTTTAAAGAAGTTTTTTTAACACGAGGTATATTGTATAATCCCCAAAAATGCGTAAGAAAATTGGTTTTCCTAGTAACATTGCGGATGGTTTCTCTTGCCCATTCATAAAGTCGACCAAATCACATTGCATACCTCTCCCCTCTCTAGTGGCGGATAGTGCGCATGAATATCTAGAACATATAAACAAAGCGAAGCTTTGCGCATCCATCCATACTCTTTTGCTTTTTTTGGAGAGCAAACTTGTGTCACTTTTTTCTGCCCAGCCCAAACCTAAATCTATTTCTTGAAACTTTTTATTCAAGGTGGTGGTAAATTTGTTTTGAAGACGTAATATAAACACTGTGAAGCTGTTCTTTTGTCTTAGCTACTTTTTAAAGTTGATTTGTGAATAGTGGATGCGTTGTCAGGTCGTCTCGAAGCGTAGATCTATCTTTTTGAGGCAGAAACAAAGGGAAACTTTAAAGACGTTTTTCTCAAAACTTTGTTTCCGTACCCTGCCTTACAAAATCACACATATCTCAAAAACTCTAGAAGATATTTTTAAAATTCAAAAAGTACATTGTTCAGAAATGATCTCTGTACATGAAAATGCAACCCCCCTCCCCCCATAAAAAACAAACAAACAAAACCCCCCCCAAAAAAACCCAAAAAACCAAAAACCCTGGAATTCTTCAAAATGCGCCATTTGGTACCTTTCACCAGGCTCACACATGTTCATAAAAAAATATATACTATTATAATGACCAATAGTTTAGTGGCGTGTATGTGACACTCACGTTCTTTATCAAAAGATGGCTCTGGCATAATGGAAAAACCCCCATTGTAATATCTTGTCAGGCCGATCTGCGCTGGGGAAATTCTGTGAATAGAATTAATCAATTTGACCAGCAGGTGGTGTTTTGTGTGGTAGTGTCGTTCGTACGTCGAGTCGATGCGTCAAAGAATAATGTCTAGTCATCCTTGGGTCGGTTGGTGAGTGCCTGCAGGGTGGGGGTGGTTTGGGGGTGGGGTGGGGGTGTGTGGGTGAGTGCATGCGTATGTATCTCTACCCGGAAGTTCTTTTATCATATGAACAACTATTAGAATAGTATGTTTATTTTTAAAAAATGTAATGACTAAGAAGGTAGTGTCGTGTATGTCACACTCAAGCTTTGTACCCAAAAGACGGCTCCGGCATTTGGGAAAACGCTCATTCGGAGATCTAGTCAGGCAGATCTGCACTGGGAAATTCTGTAAATAGAATTTAACTTTTTGGCCATTTATTTGACCAACAGGTTTTGTTTTGTGTGGAGGCGTGGAAGAACAACGTCTGGTAACCCCGGGGGTCGAGGGAAAAAAAGGGGGGGGGGGGTTCTTATTATGCCAAATTCAGACAGCTGGGACTTAGAGGACACTAGTTATTCTTTGTTGTCTGTGTGGGAGTTGAGTGCATGTGTGTGCATGCGTGTGCTGGGAAAATTCTGTGACTATGCTGACAAGGGATGGGGGTGGTAGCAGTTGGGGATCGGTTCTTCCTGGCTAACCTGAGCAGCTGTTCAGTTCTGGAAGTTCGGTTATTGATACTGAATCTTTGCAGCCATAGTATGAGCAACTGATCGCAATCTTACTCTTCATTGGTCAGTCTGCTTCTATGTTGTTTGAGCGATGCTTAAAAAACAAAAACAACAAACAAACAAATAAAAAACAACTCATGAAACCCGGAGGGGGCTTTTTCTCTATGATGGAGCCCTCGTTTGGTATAATACTT